TATGGATGCTATTCCATCTGGCACATGCATGCTTTTTTAAAAATATCTATAGGTCTATAGGAACAGTTCCATTTCCTGAACATATCAACACGCCTATTGGTGAAATATGTTTCACTGGGAAAAAATTTTAAAATTTTAAAATAAGAACTTTATTCCTTGAGAACATTGTCTCTGCCCCTCCTGCAGTCTCATATTGGAACAACCTTTTTGATCATTTAAATTGGAAAAATATATGGTCCATGCAACAAAGACTTTTCCTCACTAACAAAATAAAAGAAATCATTTTTAAATTACTCCATAATATTTACCCTGTCAAACATTTTCTTAAGAAAAAATTTGGATCAGATTTTGACACTAATTGCTCCTTTTGTCAGAATGATACTGAAACACTTCTTCATTTGTTTTGGTCGTGCAGCTATACTTTTCAGCTCTGGAAAGATGTTAGTTATTTTATTTCAAGTACTATCTTACAAGGTTTTTCAGTGAATCTTAAATCTGTTATTGTTGGTTTCTTTGAAGCGGATTCAAATGCCTGCTTTATTATACACCTAATTCTCTTTCTATGTAGATTTTATATTCATAAATGTACATTTTCGAACTGTAAACCTATTTTTGTAGTATTCTTACAATTTCATTCTCACTTAACAAAAAAGCTCTCAAAACATGTACAGTTTGCACAGCCTACAAACTCTTTACTGTATTTAATGTGTAATTTTTATTAATTTGTGTAATGCCCTCTTATTTCCTTTTCTTTTTTCCCCTTTGTCTTTTTTTTTTGTTACGGTCTTTTTCTGCTTTGAACTATGGTACTGATTGTTTTTGTTTTTTTTATTCTATTGATGTTATTCTTAACTATGTATTGTGTATAATATAATGTATTGAATGAGAAAGCACTTTATATTCTGTATAGTTCACTTGTATTGCCATATTTAAATTATTGTGTTGAAGTATGGGGCAACACCTACAAAACCACCCTACAAACGCTAAGTACAATACAAAAAAGAGCAATTAGGATAGTAAATAAAGTAGGATATTATGAGCATACCAATTTATTGTTTTTAAAATCTCATACTTTAAAGTTTAATGATCTGGTAGAATTTAAAACTGCACAAATAGTTTATAAAGCAAAAAATAAACAGCTGCCTAGAAATATACAACAATTATTCACAGATAGACAGGGGTGTTATAATTTGAGAAGGGCTTTAAATATGAGACAGCAAAATGCACGGACAAAACTCAAAAGTATTTGTATTTCGATTTGTGGGGTGATATTGTGGAATAGATTAAACGGATACATCAAAGAAAGTGTTAATATATTGCAATTTAAAAGTAGGTATAAAAGATTTATTTTTGATAAATACAGAAGTGGGGGGTGAGAGTGAGAATTTCAACATTGTTGTTAATGCTGCTTGATTTTGTTTCTGTTTGTCTTCTTTTTCTTAATAGATAAAGTAGGACGTAATTTGGACTAGTATTTTTGTATTATTCAAAAATGGTATGTCTGATTTATTATGGTTGATTGTGATTTGGTATTGGTAATTACTGAGGGTAGGATTTAATAAGCCTAGGGCTTCTTCCTACCCTTTTTTTTTTATTTCGAACAAGTTGAATATATGTAAAAGAAAAAAAAAAAGAAAAAAAAAATTTATATTTGTTGATTTTTTTTGGTTTGTTTTGGTTTGTTTTTGTTTATTGGTATTTATTTGTATGTTTATTATGTGCTTTTTTCCTTTTGTATTTTTAATATTTCTCGAAAAAAAAAACTGTTGTTATGTTTTAATTTTGTAAACTAAATGTTCAAATAAAGCATTAAAAAAGTGAGGCATACACGACGTTAATAGTAAGATAACGCCTTTGATTAACTGGAAAGACCAGCTTGTGACGTTTATCTTGTGCTTGGGTGCATGTGGTGAGTAAATAACTTTATAACCTGAATGTTTGCAGTACGTGGTGTTTAGCATTGGCAGACTGAAGAGGGAAGTTCCTGGTGCGTCTCATGATAAACGCTTCACGGTGGGCAGAGCGCAAGCTTAATTTGACAACGATGTGAAAGACATGCAGTTTGCTTGATGAACAGCAGAGGGCGGTCGAATGCCAAAAATCGTCCAGACTAAAGCGATAAATACATGCACGTACTTGGCAGACGCCTCCTATCCTATTCCTATCAAATACCATTGATTGATATTATTATTGTTAGTGTTTAGTTTTTCTGAACAAAATATAGCATTAAATAGTCTATTATAAAGCAGATTATTAGATTATAAAAGTGTCCTAGTTATTGTTGGAGTTTTCTACATTTAGCATAATGTTATTTGCAATAATATATCTGCACACTAATAAACATATCTGTACATTTATCTAAACAATACAATTTTTTCCTATACTTCCATTTCTGTATATAGTACATTATTCAATTTTTCTTTTTTTTTATTATATTAGTGTTATATTACATCCCTACTGTGTTATTCCTATGTATGTCTGCACTACGTTTGTACTTTCTTCTACACTGGAAGCTTCTGTCGTCAAGTCAAATTCCTTGTGTGTGTAAACATACTTGGTAATAAAGCTCTTCTGATTCTGATTCTGATAATATATTTTTGCCAGAACACAGACCAATCAGCTGAAAGATCGATGACTTAAACAACAGCAACCACTGTTTATTTTCAACGGATATCCATTGGTGTAAAAAAAATTTAATTATATATTTATGATTATGGGTCTACGTTTGTTATTGTTATTATTATCATTGTTATTATTAATACACTAATGAGTATTGTAGTTTTGTTAACACTTCTAAAACTGCTAATATGGCTAGAAACAAAAGATTATTTAACTGTTAAATCGGAATTTATTTAAATGTGTAACGTTAACGAAGAAAGTTCTTGATAAAAAATGGTTAGTTAAATGATTTTATTTCAGGCAGATGGCAATAATAAATAGGCTAATCATTAAAAAAAAGAAAAAAAAGTTCATCGTACTGAAGTCCAACAACTGAGACGTTTCCAGTAAAGTTTCGGTAATAGGAGCAGTTTATACATTTTAGATTATAATTTGGTGTAGGTCTGTCACCAGAAAACCCTTAATGGGCACCCTTTACCGCGTATTTCAGACGCAGTAGTCATAGACGAAATGAGTAGTAAAAACGCTTTAATTGTGTGTCTTTTTGTTGAAATGCGCAATTAATTGTTAAATTTGTTGCGCCCACTTGTGGTTCTTAAAGGAACACACAGCCGTGTGTTTGGATTTGTGCTTTGATGCGGTAAAGAGAGAAAGACTCTTTTACTGCGGTCATGGGCGAATATAAGGGACCCATTTTTCAAACAGACACATCGACACGCAGTAGTACACAAACAGAGATAATACGTTACAGACAGAGAGACAGACACATGGACTGTTTTGGTCGGGCGAGTTAAGTGGGCTTATTTGATTAGCTTTCATTCTTTCCTTTGCCTTTCTGGTTTTCTCAGCATAAATGCATCCTCAGTTTGCCATTAGCAATCAGCCTGTGTCTCTGCAGAGGTCTAAAGGCCTATAGATTTATCTTTATGTGCTGCATAAGGGTAATGGTGATTGCGATGGAAAGTTTTTCCAAATTAGCCAGCATTTCGGAGATGTTTCGCACATGTGGTTTGACTCAAAACAAGAGATGATTAAGAATTTAAAAGTTATTTATTTGAAAGCTTTTATAATTCAGACAGAAAGTGATTGGTAGCTTACAAGGTAGGCCAGTGTGTGTGTATGCACAGACTGGTTGGAATGTCGTGTCCATCTAGGCTTCCTGTCTGTGAACGTAATCTGCGGGAAACAGGCAACGTTTCCCAACAGTCTCAGCGTGATGATAAGCTGCTTTTTATCAGGGTTATGAGGCCGTGCTGCAGTTGGCACTGGTTGTGTCACACGCATACACACACAGAGAGCCTCAGGTGGTCAGACATTGAACGGTTTGTATGTAAATGCCCAGTAAATGTGTGAAAAGGAAATGGAAATGTATCTTTAAGCACGTCTTTTCCTCTGCTGACACATATATACTTATATACAGGCACACACATGGCTGCTGGAGCTTCTAATTTTTTCCCAAAGGTCTTTGGGACTGTGCCTATATCACCCCAGCAGGAAGTAGGGGGCGGAATGCCATGGCCGGGGTGGAATGTTCCAAAGTTCTAGAATGTGCGGTCGGGAAGTATGAGAGGGGAAAAAGGGAGAACAAGAAGGAGACGAGAATAAGAATGACAGAGACTCGAAAGTTGTTTATGTTTTAGGTTAAAACGTGTCTTTAGGGTACGGCCGTGTCACTTTTTGACAGTCAGGTGGATTCAGCGGCTTAAACTGAGCTGTCAGACTTACACTGACTGACACAATAGCCTTGTTTGCTTGATTAATACTCTTTTGTCTGTGTGTGTGATGCACTCGGATGATTCAGTAAGCTTGTATTACACTGGCTTACAGTGTGTGTTGTAGCCCGTAGGCACTCCTGGCTTATTTGTTAGCCGTCTTGTCGACTGTTTTATTTGCAGACTATGTATGGAGCTCTTTTTAGTGAGGGGATTTTTAGTTCTCTGCTGTTAAAGTGATAGTTCACCCAAAAATTACAATTCTGTCATCATTTACCCACCCTCATGCCATTCCAAACCTGTTTGACTTTCTTCTGTGGAACACAAAAGAAGATATTTAAAAAAAAAAATGTCCATACAGTATTTTGACTCTTTTTTTCATACAATGGGGTCCACTGGGGCAAAAACAGTTATGTTGCATGAAAGAAAGTCATACAGCTTTGGAAAGACATGAGGGTGAGTTTCGACACAAGCGTGTGTGCGTACGTGTGCGAAAACGAGAATTTTGTATAATGTAGGCGTGTATTCGCTGCGGTCTGGCTCATGAAATTCAGAAAGAAATGGTCATTGTGTTGCATACTCTCTTGGGTAATGCTTGCCGTAAATGTGTGTGTGTGTGTGTGTGTATTTCTCAAAACCCAAAATAATTCTCCCTCTATGTGGTTTCAGGATGGGTCCTACCTGGCTGAGTTTCTGCTGGCTAAAGGTTATGAGGTGGGTAAGCCAATGTAACCCCGAAAGACATCCTACAAACCTGTCAGAAATCATTCCCACATTGATCTGATGCAAATATCTCTGTCTGTTAATAATCATATATGAAAGTCATATTTTCATTTGATTCAATTTTAAATTGGTTGCATCTTATTTAAAGGTTCACTGTACTTTTTGGTTATTTTTTTAAGATAAAGAAATTTTAAAAGACATATCTCTTATGTTCAGCAAGGCTGCATTTATTCGATCAAAAATACAGTAAAAACAGTCATATTGTAAAATATTATTCAAATTTAAAGTAACAAAAAGAATAGTCTAAAAGAACAGCATGTATTTAAAATAGAAATCTTTTGTAACTATAAATATTCTTACTGTCACTTTTGATCAATTTAACGTATTCTTGCTAAATAAAAGTATTAATTTCTTAATAAAAATCTTAGTGACGCCAAACCTTTGAAGGAATGTTCTGTTTAAAACCATGCACACTCAAATGAGATTAATACATGAAGTTTTTGTTGTTTTGGGCAGGTTCATGGTATCCTCCGCAGGTCCAGTTCTTTTAACACGGGCCGGATTGAGCACCTTTATCATAACCCTCAAACGCACACAGAAGGAAGTGAGTTTCACATCCACACACCTGACTCTAATATGCATGCTTTATTATGTTTGTAAATGCATAAATGTCTTCTAACCTGTGTAAAATATCACTAGGCAATGGATCCGCTAAGGGTTGTAAGTTGTTCATTCAGTATTTTTTATTACTTTTTTTTTTTAAAGGTATTTTCCTTTATGGTTGCAGTCTAAACATTCTTAAGCACTATTTGGACGGTAATTATTTCTTTTGGGTGAAGTCTGAGAAAATCATTGGCATGGCTCCTCTGTGATAAAAGTCATGCATTTGGACTGCAGTTTTTCACAGGGAAGACAAAGAAGTGTTCTATTTTTATTCATAAAGGGAATGACACATACACAATGCCGCTAAATATGGTTGTCACTCTTCTGACAAGTGCTTAATCCCATTCTGTACAAACAAGAGTTCACCTGTTTATGGGAGTGACAAAAGTGTTCTGCGACAGAATTCACTCCCCAAAATTATGATATGTTATAGTGGCCTACAATGGGAAAATGCAGTACATACTTACAACTGAAAGACCAAAAACCAAAAGTTTCACAGATTCTGAGGTGACTGATGTATTATATACAGTAAGAATAGTTGGTTAGTTTACGGAAACAAGCTTCCTTTGTGCCAAAATACCAAAATTCTGATTATAAAAGTTTCCGATAACAGCCAGTGGTAACATTTGGGGCCCAATTAATCCATGTAAACTAATTCATCCACATAAAATAACCAAATTTAATTTGACCAGGAATTTTTTTCCTGAATGGTAGGAGAAGAAAATTAACATGTCTTATTGAAATTGTAATAAAGTCACTTATTAGTCCCTGTGTAAAACGTTTGCCATCCAAATAGGTCTTTCATTCTTTATCTGGTTTTGAAAGTAAAATGAAATTCAAAGTTTTGCACAAAAATCTAGAAACAGACTCTTATTTCACTCCAGTCGATCTGGTGATGGGCATCTTTTTTTCTCTTTTTCCTTTTTTTTTTGGCTCCGTAAACAATTTTATAAACATTTTAAACATGGATATTACCTCTTTGTACTGGGTCTGGTAGCTTTCGCTTTTTAATGTATTAACTAACATGAACAAAACATTTATTTCAATATTTATTAATCTTTGTTAATGTTATTTAATGTAAATACAGTTGTTCATTATTAGTTCATGTTAATTCACAGTGCATTAACTAATGTTAACAAGCACAACTTTGATTTGAATAACTGTAAATACAGTTGTTCATTATTAGTTCATGTTAATTCACAGTGCATTAACTAATGTTAACAAGCATTAGCATTTATTAACTAAGATTAATAAATACTGTAGGAGTACTGTTCATGCTTGGTTCATGTTAACTAATGAACCTTATTGTAAAGTGTTACCCTTTCACTCAAGTGGCAGTCTTTAAACTTGAGCCGATGTGGAGGAACATTTTTTCTAAAACTTTCCAGTAGACAGTGAGCTACAGTGGGTACGGAAAGTATTCAGACCCCTTAAGTTTTTCACTCTTTGTTATATTGCAGCCATTTGCTAAAATCATTTAAGTTAATTTTTTTTCCTCATTAATGGACACACAGCACCCCATATTGACAGAAAAACACAGAATTGTTGACATTTTTGCAGATTTATTAAAAAAGAAAAACTGAAATATCACATGGTCCTAAGTATTCAGACCCTTTGCTCAGTATTTAGTAGAAGCACCCTTTTGATCTAATACAGCCATGAGTCTTTTTGGGAAAGAGGCAACAAGTTTTTCACACCTGGATTTGGGAATCCTCTGCCATTCCTCCTTGCAGAGCCTCTCCAGTTCTGGCAGGTTGGATGGTAAACGTTGGTGGACAGCAATTTTTAGG